CGCTGCCGCCCGGCCCCCCGGGAGAGGCGCAGGGGAGCCGGGCCCTTCTCCCAGCCCTCCCGATGGTCGCCCTAGGGGTGCGGGGACAGGTGGACAATCACCCCACCGGGGAGACAGTGCCCCCTTAAGCTGGATGGTCTCCGAGGAGGAGGCATGTGCGGCCCTGACTCTAAGATTAAATTTTTTTAAGGAAGCTGGTCCGGCCCAGTGTTCTCAGTGGTTAGAGCCTCGGCCCTGGCACTGGAGGGTCATGGGGTCGAGTCCCGATCAAGGGCATGTACCTGGGTTGCAGGTTCCATCTCTGGCTCCAGTCAGGCCATGCAGGCGGCAACCAATCCATGTGTCTCTCTCACATCAATGTTTTTCTCTCTCTCCCCCTCCCTTCCACTCTCTCTAAAAAAAGTAATGGGAAAAATATCCTCAGGTGAGGATTGATCAATTTAAATTAAAAAAATGTAAAGTCCGGCCAGCGTGGCTCAGTGGTTGAGCGTCAGCCTATGAACCAGGAGGTCACGGTTCAATTCCCGGTGGGGGCCCATGCCCGGGTTGCAGGCTCCATCCCCATTGGGGGGCGTGCAGCTGTGAGGCCCAGGGGCCCACCCTGTATTTGGCGCCCTGTGTGGTGCTGTGTGACCTTCAGCACTCATGCAACCGCTCTGTGCTCTGTACCTTCACTCACAAGGAGCAGGCACAGGTAACCAACCTCACACAGCTCACCAGGAGCAGGGCAGTGATGGGGGGGCGGCTGGGCCGGGGACCCCCCAAAGAGCCCCCTCCTGACGTCCTGGGAGCTGCAAAAACGGGGACGAGGTACATCCGGGAAGGACACGCTCATCCGTGCCCAACTCACGGCGGGAGGCGTGGGGCCGAAGGGGAGGTCGTGGGGAAGCCGACCTCGGGCTCCCCGCAGGACACCCTCCCTCCCGGGGACTGGAGGACCCTCCGGAGAGGGCGCGCCTACCGATGTTATAGATCTCCGAGCTGCCGAAGCGCACTCCGTTGGGGTTGAGCGTGCCGTCGCTGGGGAGAGACGGGGATGTGAACGCAGAGCGGCCCCTGAGCGAGCCACGTCCCGGAGGAGCGAGGCGTGGAGCAGAGGGGCCCGCGTGGTGGGCACCCCTTTCCACACAGCCGGCCATGGAAGGCTCGCGTCCCCTCTTCTAATTCCAACCAGCCCTCCCTCCCTCCCTCCCCTAAACTCAGAGCCAGGTACCGAGGCAGCCCCCTCGTGTGGACACCCTGTCCCCTCGCTGCGCCTCCCCGTGCAGGGTCCCTCCCGCTGTGGGGGCCCCAGGAACCACGAGCCCCGATCGGGAGAGCTGCCGCCTGTGATGGTCACCAGCTGTGCCTCTGGTGTGGGCCTCTCCCTACGCCCCCACCACCACCCCCAGCTCCCAGCCCAGGAAGGTGAGCCAGGCCCGTGGGAAGCTGACACAGGCAGTGGCCTCGGGAAGAGGGGCTCCACGGAAGGGGGGCGACCAGACCCTCACCTGCGGCCCAGCATGATGATGCCCCCCGTCTTGGGGTTGATCTTGCAGTAGTCGCCATGCGCCCAGACACCTGCGGCAGCAGAGGCGCTCGATCACCCCAGGGGAAGGGGTCACCCCGAGGGGAAGGGGTCACCCAGGAGCCCGGCCGGAAACCGCATGGTATGGGGTGGGGTGGGACAGGGCAAGGGTGCCTGTCTGCCTGTTCTGGTTCTCCACGTGCGGTTTATGCCAACTCAGATCCCCTCTAGAGCAAGCATGTCAAACTCGAAGGCTAACACGGGCCAAACAAACGAGGCATGCGGCCCGCGGGCGTGAGTCTGACATGCTTGCTCTAGAGCCTGCAGGAAGCAAGCGCTTCGCACAAACAGCCCTGGACAGACGGCCGCTGAGGTCCCAGCTCCACCGCCGCTGGCCGAGTGCACTAAGGGCGGCAGAGCTTAAACCAGCGCCTCCTGCTCAGGGCACGGCGCCCGCGAGGTGTGCGTCTGTGCGGCCCGAACCATTCCACCTAGAAAGCCCTGCCCGACATCTCTGTGGGGACTGGGGGACGGGGTGTGAGACCGAAGGCAGAGGCCCTGGCGGCAACCCCCTGGCAGGGGCCCTCTCTCTGAGCGAGCAAGCAAGCAGGCCATCGTGTGGCGGGTGCCACGTGGGGCCACGGGGCTCTGGGCACAGACGTGGTCAAGATGAGGCTGAGCCCAGATTCCCGCGCACAGGACACTTCATGCGGACGGGACGAGGTGCTCCCCAGAGTTCCCAGTCCACCCCTGGGCGCCAGGAGCTGTGTGGCT